TTGCCCCCCCCCCCCCCCCCCCCCCCCTCTCTCTGGCTCCACATTTCAATTTGCAGAAGGAGGAGCTCTCCGAAGCTCAGTGTCCACACACACATCTCAAGAACAAACAAAAAAATCGCAAAGAAAGAATAACAAAAAAAACAAAAAATAGACTGATATCTATGCTTGCTGTGGAGGCTGCTGCAGGCACACACTGGTGTAAAGAGAGTAAAGATTTGATTCTATTTGTCACTTGGCATGGTGCTGGCATGAAAACGCCGGCTCACACGTGGAACACACAGAATAAAAGGTTGATTGGCAAAACTCCAGTGCTTACGCCCCTGTCCTGGGATGCTTCTGATCCTGTACGTCCCAGAAAGCGGTTCGGACGCGCTTTTGTCTTTTCATAGTACCCTCGGTCACAGGACAGCAGGTCACTTAGTCTCTTCTGCCTGGGTGCAGTTCTGGACTGGTGAAGGAAAGGAGGCTGTGGCTGGCTTGGGGTCAGGAGGGGGGATGTTGGCAGTAGCACTGCAGTCCTGGCTGTGGTTAGAGGTCACCTCTGAGTTGACAGGTTGTTTGGTGAGGTCGATATCCTGAATGAGCCGGATAAGACGTTTCACTTTGTCCAAGGAGCTGTGCATGTCTTTTTGCCGGGACAAAACGCTGTTCTTCATGTCTATGCATTTCTGGAAAACAGCAAAAAAGAAGCTTAAAACACCCGGCAGATACAAAGAGGCCAATTTATAAAAAGAGCTAAACTAAAGCTGTAGACCGTATTCCAGAGGTGCCCGTGCATACCTCCGGCAGCTTTCAGTATCCTCTGATTCGCCCAAATTCCCGGCTCTGACCTCTGGGCAATGCTGAAGCTTGACGCTAAACCCTTCCCTCCCCCCTCACATTCCTATTGGCCAATCACTATGAGAGCCAGTTCACACCAGAACTGCGTGCGTCTGCGCAGCTGCAGTGCAATGCATTTTCCCGTGATTGATGCATTTGTTTTTTTTAAATGGGATTTCAGGTGCGTGCCAGTGCATTTGCATTTCGAGACTAACAAACCAATCCTCAACTCTGCCCCAAGCTACGTCACCAACCATGTCTCCATATATCACCTTTTCACTGCTCCCAAGACTTTCTTCTCTATATTTCCCTCATCACCTTCTCCCATGCTCGCCACCAGGACTTCTCCAGAGCCAATCCCATCCTCTGGAACTCCCTACTCCGGCCATCTCCTAGTCTGTCTGCTTTTAGGTGATTCCTGAAAACTCCTCTATAGAAGCCTATCCTGCCATAAGGCGCTGTATAAATCCTGTATATTATTATATCAACCCACAAATCCTTGCAGATCCTCTACAATCAAGACTAATTAAAACAGATTAATGAATAATCATTATTGAACATATCACTTTAGATTCATTTGAATAAATCAGCATTTGGGAATACACAGAGTACTGTAAAGCTACATAAAAACCTAAAGCAAGCTCTGGTCAGAGGAGACTAGGCAACTGCTGGACAGGCTACAACCAAGCTAGAGCTGATCAATTCCCAGGAAAACCAGCAATTATGTCATGAGGGATTCCTAGTCATGGTTCACCACGGCAGATGTCCCAGAAGCAGGGGGGATGCCGGTGACAGCTGTAAACAGGGATCTTTACTAAAGGGTTAATCCAATTTCCTGCCCGCTTACCGATATGGAGCTGCTGAGTTGTTTCACTTTCTGCTCTAGTTGCTCTCGCTCCTGTTTCAGCTCAGAGCTCCACTTGAGTAATTTTTGCTTCTCTTCTTCTTTTGCTTTTTGTTTTAGAAGAATAAAAATGTTACATTTGGTATAACAGGACGTCCTGTACAGTTTGCAGGAGTGTGAGAAACACAAACATATATACATACACAGACACACACACAGACATTTTCTAGCAAGCAACAGAAAATAGAACCCCCGCCCCCCCCCCAGTAATCTCTATATAGAAGAACATTGTACACTACATTTACCATCCAGATGTGAACACAGAGACCCTCTAGACTAGGGGTAGGCAACTTTGACACTCCAGTTGTGGAGTGCGTACAAATTCCATCGTGCATCTGCTTCTGGAAGTCATATCTGTGGCTTTAAGAATCTTGCAATGCATTGTGGGCAGTTTCCTCAACAGCTGGTGTGCTGAGGTTGCCTACCCCTGATCTAGACCTTCTGTATTGACAACTGGCCAGTGCAGAGGCTTCTGATGTCAAACAGGAAAATGGAGGGTGCAGGGCCACCTACTCATCATAGAAGCTACTGCTTCTAGGCTCAATAGGCAGTCTGTCTGATCCTGGCTTCAAAATTTTGTGGATCACTGACCTAGAACAAGTATGCAGCCAGCGAAGTCTAAACTCCTGTACACCATGCTTGTTTTTAGGCCAATGCTTGACCAGGTAGTGCAGTCAGAATTAGGATGGAACAAGCTACACTTTAAAAACCAAGCAATGGAAGCTCCACTACTTATATCCAACAAGTTCCATTTATTAAAGTGACACTAACTCTAAATCTTAAAAATAAATTTCAGTACCTGAACTATTAATACAAATATTTGTGTATCACTCGGCTGTAGATCCTCAAATCATCTCTGAATTGGTGCCGACACTGTCCTTCCTTCTGGAGGGGGACTACTTTTGTTCCCCATGGCCCCTGTGTATGTAAAGTAGTCACCGCTCCAAGCTCGCTCCCGGGATGGACTACAATCTCATATTTAGTTTACTCATTTTAATTGAGATTGTAGTCCATCACAGGAGTGAGCTTGGAGCGGTGACTACTTTATAACACGCACAGGGACCATGAGGAAGAAAAGTAGCCATTCAGTACAGCGTTGCATGACTGAATAAACGTCAAAGTACTGCAGCGCTGAACACTGAAAAATGGCCGGGACCGGAAGGTGGTCTAAACACCTGGTCTTGAAGTGGTTAAGATTTAAAAAGGAGAACTATGAGGTGAGTGCTTTTCACTCACCTCATAGTTCTAGCCGACCTGTGACAATGAGACTGTCACAGGTCGGCTCAGTAGATCGAGAAGTGAGCGAACAGATACCGGCGTTCGCTCACCTCTCGATCCTGTCAAAGCTCTCTGCCGTGACAGGGGAGGGACTCAATTCCCCCCTCCCCGCTCCGCAGCGCTGACTGGCGGAACGGACGGACGGGGGGGTAGAGGGGTACAGCTGGCTCTGCCTCTAGATAGGCAGAGCCAGCTGTCAGTCACGCAGCTGGGCGGATCCAGACATAATTGTCGGGATCCGCTTCAGCGTCTCAATATACCGCGAGCAGTAGCTCGCGGTATACTGAGCTTAGGGTGACGGGAGGACGCTAGTTTGTGTCCTCCCATTACCCTAAGGAGAACTATGGGGAAAAGCCTTAACCACATAGTTCTCCATGTTCAGTTCTCCATGTCCAGTCTGTTCAGTGATTAACTCCTGAGTCTAGTGTCTCCTTAACATCTTTGGTACATAGAGCAGCTTTTGCATTTCCACTTGTATAGGGAGAAAAGTATTTGACACACAAAACCCAGTTGACACAGGCCCTTAAAGTGTCCCAGGGATCCTTTATTTATTATTATTAATGAGAAGGTTGCAGGAGGTGGGGAACATTTTTCATTAAATGCAGGGATCGGTGGAAGTTCCTACAATGCTTGTAAACTAGCAGAATGCATCTTGAACCGGAATAAATGAAACAAGAACAGCAACCAAGATGGGTCTAATGCTGCTGTGCTTTGACGGCCAATGCAGCAACACTCAGGAGAGAAGCGGAACATTTAAAGCTCCACTAACACCTATATTTTAGGGGTGATTAGGGATTACTGTGTCGGAAACTTGCATTTACCTTCAGCAGGAATCCCTAATATGCCATTTACAAGCGGCAGCCATTCAAGTTAATGAACAGATGACAGACGCTACATTTGAACGCTGGCACACCACGTTATCGTATCTGATACGATTACATGCGGTTAGGAATCATTCACTATCCCTGGATGCATCAAATTTTCCAACCACAAGCACTCAGCAACGTGTTAACCTCTTCTGTACTGCTTCAATTGGTTGGGTAACCTGCCATTTAAAGGGGGCATCTATCAATTTATGACAAGCCTAATAGGGTCATGCTTCATGCACATGAGCTATCTGCTGCTTCTGACCTCTGTGAGGTCCTCATGCTCAGGATATGAAATATGACAGAGGAGACACCAGACCCACCTGCTTTATATGCAATATATGAGTGAACAATGGCTAACGTCCCGGGCCAGGGAATTGCTTCCTCTTTCTTGAGCATCTGGAAAAAATATCAAACAAAAGGCATTAAAAATAATGCTGCAGATAGAATTTAAAGATCTGCAGAGCAATACAAAAAACAGTTACAACTATACGATGACACAACAAAAGTACAAAAATGAACAAAAAGCATTATAAAAACATACCTACATGTATAATCCGAATTAGACATAATATGCACAAGCTGATTTAAGCAATAACTTCAAAATAAGACTTTTGCTGCTTCAACTACTGAATTCCTGGAATTGCCAACTCATGCGCAAAAAATTAATATCTGGCCACACATAATGCACCCAAGTCAAAGGCGGCCTGCTTTGAAATGAGCACTTTTCTTCTGATACAGTTACTAGTAGCAGCTGATGGGTAAATGGTCAGAACTGTTGCCTTGTAGCACTGGCGTCCTTTTTTGAATTCCCACCAAGTGCGCCTTCCATGTACAATTTGTTCTTCCTGTGTGTGCTTGCAGTCCAGGTTCCTCCCGAAGCACAAACAGCACATATATACATTCTTGGCTCTAGAGAGCTTATGTGCACGGGTGATAGCTGCAGGGAACGTAGACTGCAAAAACTCTAAGGCTGGATTCACACCTAGGCGTATCGAATATGCGCATTTGCCGCACGTCTTTACACCCTCATTCATAAAACCTCTTGCATTCTTTCTACAAAATACAAGGGGTTCCGAGACTGGAAGGGGACGGGAGGGGCAGATGCCCGATAGGACTGCCCCACAAACAAAACAAAAAAATACTGAGCAGCACAGTGGCATAATGGTTAAGGAGTGGCATAAGGAGTTTGCATGTTCTCCCTGTGCTTGTGTGGGTTTCCTCCGGCTGCTCCTGTTTCCTCCCACACTCCAAAATACATGCTGGAAGGTTAATTGGCTCCTGTCTAAATTGGCCCTAATATGTGAGATAGGGACCTTAGATTGTGAGCTCCTTGAGAGCAGGATCTGATGTGAATGTGCTTGTTAAGCACTGCGTAAATTGTCAGTGTATATAATAAATAAACAGGAGCTTTTATGAATGGATAAGGGTGGAGGAAGGACAATATTCTTCACTCTATGAGCACTGGAACTCACAGCAGCAGGGCAGATAGCAGTATCTGGTATGACAACTAAAGCTGGCCAAACACTGCTTAGGTTTTCCAAAGAGTTTTCGTTTGACTTTATATTAGTTGATGGGGTAACTTAGCTGGATCAATCTAAAGTAAATATAAATTTTTTTTTCCTGGAGCTCCACTTTAATAACCAGAGAATTATACAGGAGATCAGATCATGTAAAAATATACCGCAAGACTAAGCAGGGCAGTGTTTTTTATATCTTCCAAATACAGATGTCCAGCGAATCATCACACAAGGGGACCACCTATAGTGCACATCCAATACACACCTAACATCACTCACACAATGTTTGCCTGTGCGCAAATCTATGGCAGCTCTATTCTATAAGCCAATCATACAGTAAAATATTCAAAGCTATCACCTGATTGTTCTTGTTTATGCAACCTTTACTGCATCCTTCAAGAACTAGAACCACCGTGATAAAAATCTATATCATGTATCCAGTTTACAGGTATCACCTCTAACCAGTTTATTTAATGAGGAAACACACTGCCACATGACCTATACACAAGTGGCAGTATGAATCCGAATACCAATATACACACATGGCAATATAGTTCTACATTTCATGAAATAGACCTTTCAGTAAAAAATAAACTAAAAATGTCTTATTTTTTTGCCTAGGAGAAGAACTAAAGTTATAAGTCAATAAACGACACCTCACCACCTTAGAATTATTGTTTACAAACATGACCTTTTCGTGTTTGAACACTTAAGAGATCTCTACTAACAATATAATTTACAGCAGAATGCCCCGCTTTAAAAAAAAGAAATACCCTTGAAGTACGGCATCCCCACACTGCAAGGTTTAAAGGAGAACTATGCCATGAGTGATTTCCACTCACCTCATAGTTCTAGCCGACCTGTGACAATGAGACTGTCACAGGTCGGCTCAGTAGATCGGGAGGTGAGGGAAAACATACCGGGTTCCCTCACCTCTCGATCCTGTCACGGCTCTCTGCCGTGACAGGGGGAGGGGCTGGATTACGCTAGTTTGTGTCCTCCCGTTACCCTAAGGAGAACTATGGGGAAAAACACTGACCCCATAGTTCTCCTTTAAATACTCTTTCCAGACCAGAGATAGAGAAATGAGCTGTAATACTTACCTTATTTCGCACTCCCCCAGCCTCTATCACTCTCCACGTCTCTCTGATGCCCCGGGTTGTGACGGGTCCTCGCTGTCCTCACATACAATGCAGAACTATTGGCCCTGCATTGTATGTCATGATGTCATAGTACGACCACCAGCCAAAGAGAAGAGGCTTCATGGGACGGGTAGTACAGCATAAAAGGAAGCCTGCCAGAGCAAGTGATATGTATTACCCTATATTCCTCTACCCCTGGACATAAAGAGCATTAAACCCTTGCAATGTTGGCAGGCATTTTTTTTTTCTGATGCCGGGAGTCTCACACGGGTGGACAAATAATGAGTTACTGGAGGCTGCAATACTTACCTTTCCTGGAGTAAATCTGCTGGTTCCAAGCTCCTTCCGGTGTTGACCAATTAACCAAACGTCTAGGCATTTGATCAGTGGATCTCTGCTTGGCCAATCTGATGCTCAACAGAAACCAAATGCCTAGGGTTTGGGTTATGGGAGCAGCACTGAAGGTAGCCTATGGCAGAATTTTCTCCAGTAAAAATAAGTATAACAGCCCTTTTTTCTACGCTTTAGTTTGCCATCTAAGGCTTATAACACAGCTTTACATAACATTTATGTATAGGTTCAGTGCTAGCCACACACATTTATTCTTTTATTCTCTCCGCCAATATCCACCTGTAAGGAAAAAAAAGTCAGTTTGGGTTGGCTTGACCCTTATACACTGTAACATTAATGCTTACAAGCACGACTCTTGTTATTAGCAATAACATTATCAATCTGACCAGCATTCAGATTACCAGGCCATGTCTGGCTGTAGTACTGTGAAGAAATTTGTGATCTGGGACGCTTCCTCCTGTAAGGGAGTAAGACTTGGCTGCCATATTACAGTACTGCTCTTCAGTCAGACCTGAAGGGAAGATTCTGCAGTGCAAGAAGAGACTGGGGGGCGGGGCAAAGCTCAGGAGATCTAGCAGTCAATGGGGCTTTAGTATAGTGCTCCCTGTATCTGTCTATCACACGGTACCTGGTCTTGGCATTTGGGACATATCCACATGCCCTTGGGAATGGATTTCAGAGGAGGCTCCAAACAGTCCAGGTGGTATACACGTGAACATGTGTCGCACATCAGTAGCTGTCCGCTCTTTCTGCAGACGCTGCAAAAATCCTCATGGATATCAGCCTATAGGAGTCACAGGAGAGAGAGGAGGCGAAAAGAGGGGTCAGCCTAAAAATCTGACATCAGCCCTTCTTTATCGTTTTATGAGCTGCATTTACTATTTACTTATTTA